AAGAGCAACGCCACAGTTAGTCTAGTTTTTGAAGAAGAAAAAAATCTACAGATTTTTGTCTATGATCCAGACTCTAGTAAGAAAACAGTCTTTAAGAGCTATATATATATATATATATATATATATATATATATATATATGTATGTATGTATATATGGAGCCAACTTTATATATATAATGTAGGCTCCATGATTTCTTGGATTCTCTGCACTGAATGTATTTGAAGTCACCTTAATTTTAATGTATCTTAGAAGTGAAACAAAATGAAAACTTGTCCTTCTCTTGGGTTTTTCTTTTCATTTTAAAACAGTAAAAATCAAGTTGGTGCAATGATGTAGCACTAGCTGATGCAGCAACTGCAGTAACCGGAGAAGCCCTGGGCTCAAGCTCCAAACACAACATTTTAAAAATACATATGTCATTTCCTGATTTGGGCACTATACTGCAGTTATGTAGAAGAATGTCCATACTCTTAGAAAATACATAGTCATGTATTTAGGGGTAAAGGAGTATTATATTTACAATTTACTCTCAAATGGTTCTGAAAAATATATATTCATATTGTATTTATTTATATTTCACATCATATTTACATCAAGAGAGAGAATGACAAAGCACAGACAAAATGTTAACATTTGAAGAGTCTGGGTGCACAGGGATTGTTTATATTATTCTTACTACTTGTCTGTAAGTCTGCAAATATTTTGAAATCAAATAGAGAAAATTAAGACAAGGATAAATAAGAACAAAATATATACAAAATACAATACATACACATAAAATAAGAGATGCCAAGTGCAAGCTCTTAAATATATTATTGATAACTTCTTTGGGTCGGAGCCCTTAGGTCACATTTGGTTTTATCAGTGCTTTTAGCCAAATTCCTTTTCAATGTATCTTTGAATCAAGTGTGAGCAGACAAAGACTTATACTAATATATTTGGACTCACAAGATGAATGGTTGCAACCATGAGGTTGTATTTCTTCCCTCCAAAGAAGGCAATTTGATATTGTGGGGACAGATTTTATTATAGGCATTGTTTTTCTAGATAAAATGAATCTACCTTGTATTTCTAAAAATATATTTTTCATTTTCTCTGTCACAAAAACTAAAATTTTTAGTGCACTTCTATATTTTGCTGGAAATGTTGCGAATTTAGTCACAGGTAAAAAGAGAGAGGATAGTGAGGGCCTTCCAAAGCAAGCCATGGGCCATGCCCACGGGTGATTACTGTGTGGGGACAGGAAGCAGAGGATAGGCTGCCACACTTGAATACAAAAATGAAAAAACAAACAGTCTGACTAGTTCTGTCTTTGTGGCATAGTAACTCTACCCAGTAGGAAAACACAGCCCAGTGAATGTCAGACTGTGACCAGTCTGTACTTTAGAACCAGCCAGTATTGGAGTTGCTTCCCCTTGGCTAAGACTTACTTAGACTCCTTTAAATGCAGTAAAATGGAAGACTCAAGACACCAAAGCTGAGCCAAGAGGTATTTTTAAATGTCACTTTATTCCTATTCAGTATTCAGATGAGTCAAAGGATTTTTTTAAATGATGCTTTATTTTTATTTATGATTCATATGCTGCTTGCTTCCAGTACTCCATGCAAGGCAAGGTTCCTGTGGGACTCTGGCGGTCCTGAGCCTGAACTGAAGCAACACTCTTGGTGCTGGAGTAGATAGAAATGGAGTGTTTTTGCTCAGGGCTCCCAGCCAACGCCTAGAGGACCAATTGAGCATCTGTTTCAGCCTTGGCGTAAGGGAAGGCAGTCTAATGTAATCTGACCCTTCCACTTACTGTCCCTCCAGGAAGTAACTGTCCATTTATGACATGCAATCAAGGGCTGAGTCTAGTTCTTACAAATGTAAAGCAAGGAGGCACTATTTTAAAACAAAAGTTTTTAGCAAGAAATTTTGGGTAGTTAATTTTCTGAGACAGGGGTATAAAGATTTTGCAATTTTTTAAGCTGAAGAATAACAGTTATCCTCATGTGTTCCTTTGAGAAAGAGATATTAATGGAATTTCCCAAAACATTAGATTAGGGAGCCCTTCCTAAGAGCATCAGGAAGTCCATTGTCCAATACTTATTCAAAAAGGAGGAGAGGAGCGGAAGCTCCCTCCACCACCCACGGCCATGGGTTAGTCAGGCCACTAACTCCTATTGACTCTATAGGACAGAGTAGAACTACTCCATAGGTTTCCAAGACGGTAGTCTTCAAGAAGATAGACTGCCACATCTTTCCCCGGAAGAGCGGCTGGTGGGTTTGAACTGCCAGCATTTTAACAACTGTGCCATCAGGTCCCCTTAAAGCTCCGTACTCTATAGAAATGGGAAGAGATGGCAATCACTGCCCCTTATGCCCCTCCCCAAAAGGGTCATCATTGCAATTATAATTATTGAATGATGTCACCAAAATTATGAGTAATGTCTAAGACACAAAGACTAGATGTAAGCAAAGCCAGAAGATAAAATGTAAGAATAGGGCAGAATTCAAGTTTCAGATTAAATTAATATACTTTTTAGACCTCCACAAATATTTATTTGGTCAAGGGAAAGCATTTGGCTTAAAACACCAAAAACTTTGCTTAATATTTAACTAGAGTGGAATACAAGTGCCATTTGAGAGATAGTTGAAAGTAGTTAATAGCAAGTTACTGCTGCATCCCAGCAGCCTCACAGTCTCGTCAAGGACAAAAATGGATGAAATGTGCAGAAAATCTTAAATGTCTTAAAGCAAAGTATTATAAATGTAATACTATTATTTTTCCTTTTAGAGTCTTTTTTGTTGGCTTAGGTTTAGGAAGCATCTGGCTAGATTTAACAAACCTTCCATCAGTTAAGATGTTTTGGCCACAATGAAGTACCATTTCATTTTTACTACAATGGTTAAGCTTTAAAAAGAAAAAAAAAAGCAGAAAAGAACAAATGTTGGTGAGCATGCATTGGAGCCCTTATCCATTGCTGGTGGGAATGCAAAATGGTAGAGCTGTTGTGGAATACAGTGTGGTGATTCCTCAGAAAACTAAACATAGAACTACCATCTGACCCAGCAATTCCATTCCTAGGTATGCACCCAAAAAACAAAGACATGTACACCAGATATTCATTGCAGCACTGTCCCTAATAGCCAAAAGGTGGAAACAAACTAAATGCTCATTAACAAATGAATGGATTAACAAAACGTGTTACATACATACGATGGAGTAGTACTCAGCGAGTAGAAGAAATGAAGTCGTGATACTTTTACAATATGGATGGAGCTGGAAGATATGCTGAGTGGAGTATGTTAATCACAAAAGGACAAATATTGCATGACCTCAGGTATGTAAAAAGATAAGAAAAGACAAAACAAGTTTTACTCTTTGATCTGATTGGGAGCAATTTAAGTCACGTGCCTCCTTCTGTGTGCATCTATGGAATGAGATGATGTGGGTTATAATTTAAAGAGCTAAGTGATTCATCTAGTGCTACGAAAAGAATAATGAGGGTAAAGTGAAGGCCAATAAAAAGAAAGTAATAGTCATTTATTTATACATAAGATTCACTGTGTGGTTATTTTCTAAAATAATAATAATTTTTAAATGACATTTGACCTTTTCATCTCACTTACTTACTATTAAAACATAGTGATTCCCATTGGAAACATTTGAGAAGATTCTAAGAGAGACTTTTATATTGTATAATATCAAGTAGTATCTCCTATTGGTGTAATTCAATTATAAATACTAGACTTTGAAATAATATTCTACTGAATTATGGAAAACATGTTTAATTTTTTTGCCATCAAAGGTTCAGTTTCTGCCCTGAAGTCCTCCCGCTGTTTAAAAATAATATACAAAACCATGAGTGAAAGAGTTGTCTTCAAGAATTTGTTCAATATAAATAAATAGTATTTTTAGAAAATCTTTTAAACCATAATACGACATAGCTTTCAATATTTAAACTCCTTTAACTTACAGTAATAATATTTGCTTACCTAGGGTAATTTTATAAGGGTTCATTAATCTTCCAAAATGCTTTGAAAGGTTAAAATTAAAGGCCTCATACAATATGAACCAGTTACAATTATGATTTCACTAACTTTCAAATAACATTTTGTTATGCATGAGACTAAAATATTTCTCACATTGCTGGTAATTCTTATCTTTTCTCTCCTATCAGTTTTTTTTTACCACTTTGATTACTACTGTTGAGCATTTTGTAATAAAATTCCAATAGAGAGCTCCATTCAGATCAGTTATAGTTAAAAACTAGATTTTTTTTAACTAACCTCATGTGGCACTATTTGTTCTCTGTAAGTAGGATTTCATACAAATAAACTATTATACAAAGCATACTTTCTCGTCTTATTTTACAGTTATCTGATAACTATGACCCAATGGTGGGCATCTCCTAGTTACTGTCTGGTTAACAAATGGAAATTCTTTGAAAACTTTTCCTAAGAGTGTGTTTCGCCTTTGTCGTTGGTCCTGCAGGAAGAGCTCCCTGGGACCAGGTGGCCAATGCATAGAAATCTTGCTTGTTTTCTTTGACAACTGGGAGACATGAACATGTTTCCTTGATGTATCTTGCTCAAGCAGCTGGAATTCTCCATATTTAACTTACCTTTCTCCACATGAGATGCATCCCATTGGCACACCAAATTCAAATCAAACTGTTTATACTTTCAAAGGAAACAAATGTCAAGATAGTTTCTAGAGTATGCAAAAAGAAATTTTGTTTATTTTACTTTGAGAACATTCTACCTTTTAGAGAAAACTTATAAACTAGGATTTTGAACCTATTCAAAGAAAGGGCAATTGTATTGGCCAACACCAATGAACATTAAAGTTTCATCAAATGCATCTGTCAATATAAAATTCTGGCAAGTGGCTTTAACTGACTCATCAGTTAGGGTTGGGCTTTGCTACATAAAAAAGGAACTCAAAATAACATTTTTTTGAAAAAAGAAGATAGAAGTTTATTTTCCTTTTGGGGAAGCGGGGGCAATCCGGAAGCATGAGGCCCAGATTTGGAATAGCAGTCATACGTGAGCAGCTGCAGTTGTGGGTGAGACAGCCTCCTCCTGTCTATCTGCTCTGCCAAGGTAAGTACAGCTTCCACCCTCAGATGACCTCAGGGTCTAAATGGGCTGCTGGAGCTCCATCTTTCAAATTCTAGGGAGTAGAAAGAAAGTGGGAGCTCTGGTGGTGCAGTGTCTAAGGCATCTGACTACTAACCAGAAGGCTGGCAGTTCACACCCACCAGCCACTCCTGGGAAGGAAGATTGGGCAATCTACTTCTGTAGTGATACTGCCTAGGAAACCCAAGGAGGAGGTGGCTATGAATTGGATTCAACTCCACGGCAGTGATTTTGGTTTTTTTGGTTTGGAGAAAGAAAGGAGGTAGAAAAAACAAAAGTGCTCATTACCAAGCTCTGTCAGCTTCTTTAAAAAGCCTTCTCTGAAGTTCCTAGCAACGCCTTGTTATGGAAGGAATTGTGTCCTCTCCAAAAATATGTATTGGAATCCTAACTCCTGTACTTGTAGATTTGATCCTGTTTGAAAACAGGGTTTTATTTGTTATGTTAATTAGATGTTACCCCAGTAGGGTGGGTTCTAAATCTAATCACTTAGGAGTTATAAAAAAACAGATTAGACAAGGAGATGACACACACACACACCGGGAAACAAACAGGAGACACGTGAGGAGTGCCAAGGAACCAAAGAACAATTCAGGACTACCAACATGGAAGAAACGGACACAGTCAAAATGCTCCTTTGGCCTTTTAGTCTCCAGAACTGGGAGAAAATAAATTTCTGTTCTTTAAAGCCAACCATAGGTAGTGTTTGTGTTACAACAGCACTAGCTAACCAAGGCTATAGTGCTTCTATTTATATTTCCTTGGTCAGAACTTAATCATTATGCTATATTTAGCTGCATGGAAGGCTGGATAATGTGTTTTTGTATCTGAGCACATTGTTACCCAGAATAAAAGTGGGATTCTAGTACTAAAAGAAGTATTGAGTGGCAACTTGGCAGTCTGTGCAATATTTATAATGTTATATTTGATGATTTTGTGGGAAATGTTAAGCAGTCCTCAAAAATCACAAATAAGCTATGCCAACTGACCTAGGGTAAAGGATTTCCACAATACTGTTGGGTAAGAAAGTCAAAGCATATATGTGATAAAATATAATTCCATTTTTGCATAATAGAAAGTGACAAAAATCTCTACATATGTATTTGCATGTGTGTGTCTGTATATTTCTTGATGTACGACATTTATGAATATGGAAAAAATGCAGAATACAACTAGGTTGTTAACATGGATTAAACGGCAAAAGTGTGCATTAGGGTTGTATCCTTTTACCATAATTATTCAATCTGTATGCTGGGCAAGTAATCCAAGAAGCTGGACTACATGAAGAAGAATGAGGCATCAGAATTGGAGGAAGTCTCATTAATAAACTGCGATATGCAGAGGACATGAACTGCGATATGCAGAGGACACACCCTTGTTTGCTGAAAGCAAAGAGGGCTTGAAGCACTTACTGATGAAGATCAAAGACCATAGCCTTCAATATAAATTACATTCTAACATAAAGAAAATAAAAATTCTCACAACTGGACCAATAAGCAACATCTTGATAATCAGAGAAAACATTAAGGTAGCCAAGGATTTCATTTTACTTGGATCCACAACCATCACCCATGGAAGCAGCAGACAAAAAAATCAAATGAGGTATTGTATTGGGCAAATCTGCAAAACCAAAAAAAAAAACCAAACTCACTGTCATCAAGTTGTTTCTGTCTCACAGAGATCCCCATTGGGTTTCCAAGGCTGTAAATCTTTACAGAAGTAGATCACCCAGTCTTCCTTCCATGGAGCAGCTGGTGGGTTTGAACTTCTGACCTACCGGTTAGCAAGTCCTTTATCCACTACACCACCAAAGCTCCAAAAGATCTCTTTAAAGTGTTAAAAAGCAAAGATGTCATTTTGAAAATTAAGGTGTGCCCAACCCAAGCCATGGTATTTTCAATTGCCTCAAATGCATGCAAAAACTAGACAATGAATAAGGAAAACTGCAGAAGAATTGATGCATTTGAATTATGTGTTAGCAAAGAATATTGAATATACCCTGAACTGCCAGAAGAATGAATGAATCTGTCTTGGAAGAAGTACAGTCAGGATGCTCAAGTATGGTCAAACATCATCTCTTATACTTGGGTTATGTTATCAGGAGGGACCAGTCCCTGGAGAATAACATCATGCTTGGTAAGGTGGAGAGTCAGTGAAAAAGAGGAAGACCCTCAACAAGATGGATTGACACAGTAGTTAAAACAATGGGCTCAAACACCACAGTGACTGGGAGGATGGCAGAGGACTGGGCAGTGTTTTGTTCTGTTGTACATGGGGTCACTAGGAGTTGGAACAGACTCCACAGGATATAACAACAACAACACATGAATAAAGGGAGAAGGGATAAACATCTTTGTGTCCTTCCATTTTCCACTTGTTATAGCAGGCATGTGTTATTTCTGCAATGTGAAAAACATCAAAATGAATTTTTTAGATGCCACAGCCTGCAAATCCAGACTTCATAACGTCTTTTGCCATATATGAAAATTCACAGGGAGCCAGTTCACCATAGAATCTATCATAGGGGATCTTAGAGAAGAATTTAACAGGACCCCAACATGAAGCAAGTTTACCCAAATTGCTTTAAATTATTTACTTAGTGAAATTATTTATTTAGAAAGTATTCTTGCTAGAAAACATTAAGAAGAACATTGTATTCTTTCTGAGAAAATGAGTGTGAAGGCTGGTCATATAGACAACCCTTTATGTGGCACCCACACATCATCAAAATTGGCTAATTTTGGTTTTTATAGAATTTCTTAGAAAAACTGGTCTGAAAACCTTATTCTTTCTGAGAAAATGAATGCTAACAAATGTTTATAAATATTTAAATATGAATATCAGCAGAATAATTTCATAATAGATGTCCTTGCTGAATTATCCAGTATACTAGCATTTATGAAATTAAACAGCTTTTATGAATTATATTTAATGGGTACATATTAAGATCCATTTAGGCCATGAATCTTTCAAGAAAAAGTCTTTTCTGGGAATAAGTCACACCTTGTAAGAATAAATCATTCTCATGTCAATTTGGCTTCATCAAAATTTCATGAAGGAAAAAAAAAACTTCAAAATCAGATATAACAACATCCCACTATAAATTATATTTGCTCCAAACATGGTAAAAAAAAAAAAAAAAAAAAAGGAAGCTTAAGAAAAAATACAGGAAAATAAATTAATCTCCTACCCAGCTTATGTCTATTTGGCATGGAACATGTCCAGTATTATAACCTCAGAAAAAAGCTAGTAGCTAGCAAGTCTAAGAAATTACTGATGCTACACTATAAGGTCAAAAACATTTTAATGACTATTTGAAAATTAATAATAATGTTACAATAATTTTTAAAATGAAGTTTCATATTTAAACTTATGTCCAAATAATAGTGGAGACAATAATGACAGTATTTGGCTTCTGCATTGGTTCTGGCCAAATATTGATCTTCCACTACTAGGCTATTTGGCATCCAGTTGAAAATCTATTCAGTAGTCCAGTTAATAAAAATATTCTATTGGTTGAGCAGTGAGGCATTCCTGCAGAGTCCATCAGGAACACTAAGGTACAGAGAGTAACCTGGGACGATTGTAATAAATCTATAACGATTGTATAGCTCCCCTCTACCGCAATACTTGTTCAGGACAGACATTTTAAGCAAGCACACTAAGAGCTTTTTCTCCAGGTCCCAGGATTATGCTTTGAGAATAGAATCTTCATGTTTGTTTAATAAGAGTCAGGTGTGCAAATTAACAATGTTATATACATAGAACTTGAAAACAATTATGCTGTAGTTTCAGCAAATTTTTAAAAAATATAGAATGTGACTCAAAGCCTGTGGTTGTTCAGTTTGTGTGTCAACTTGGCTGGGCCTGGTTGAATGGCTAGGCAGCTGGATGTAGTAGTCCCCATGATGAGACTAGTAATCAACTCCATGGTGGAATCTATTGTGAGTAGCTGAGTAGCTGCCTTGGGGAATGTGGTCTGCTTCCTGCAAGCTTGGGGAGTGGTCTCTAGCTTATGGCACATTTGAACCCTGCGTGTGGCCGTGTTGTTGCTGCCGACCTGGGGACTTACAATGGATTTGAATTAATGGCCTGCCATGTGGTTTGGTAACATCAGGACTGTGCCTTTTTACTTTACCAGCAGCTGTCTGAGTGAAGAAATGCCTCTAGCTCCAGGGGGCCGGGAACAGGAGTCAGAGCGGGACCCCAAGGTTGAGGGGCTTTCATGCAGCCCCTAGAGCCTGGCACTTTGAACTGGGATTTAAAGCCTCTAAATTGTAAGAATAAACTCCTGTTTGTTAAGGCCATCCCGTTTGTGGTATATTCTTCTCAGAGCAGCACTAGGTAACCAGGACAAAGCCCTAGCGTCGCACCACATTTTTCTTAGTACTGAAAGGTGGCCAATGTGATGGAACTG